GACAGTAGACAGACCGAGGCTCCCGCCTGCCAATGAGGCTCTAGAACACAAAAGCAGCAGGAAGAGAGTTCTGGGTCGGAGGTGCCAGTACTCGAGCCTTCAGTTGCTTCTCGCCACCCTCTCCAGTCTTTCCCATCTTCTCCGGGTTTTCCGTCTGCTAATTCTCTGCTCTTTACTCTTCCCCATCTTGTTGAACATGAGAGAATTGTCCAGCAAAGAGAATTGATATAAACGAGAACTGACATATTATCCAATTTAAGTGCTTATCAGCGTCAGCTAAATTTTTGTGCTCCTCTGGCTGTCACCAAGCCGGCCTGCTAGTCTGAGTGGAGTGACCATTCCTCCGCATGCAGGAAGGAGGGGACTGCTATGGCTCCTGGAGGCGTCAGCCTCTCAGGAACTGGCTGTTTCTTCCTCTTCCTCAGAGAAATGCTGCCTTCCCTGGGCTTGCCGTTAAATGGTTTTATCCCTGAATTGTATCTCCGGACAGCACCAGGGCGTCTTCACAGAGCCCTCTGCCTCCTGAGATTTCCACCAGGTGACCAGTAACGCCCTAGGTTGGAAGTCTGCCCAGGCCTTGCGGAGCACTGCCGGGCTTCCGCCCTTCTGTGCCTTTAGGAAATGGCCCTTCCTGTTGCTCCTACCCCAGTCTGTGGAGCCAGACACCAGATCTGGCTGACTCCCGGATCCCTGCCGTGACTAGCTCTGGACTTCTTTTTTATTTTTTTTTTGAGTCAGAGTCTCACTCTGTCACCCAGGCTGGAGTGCAGTGGCACGCTCACAATCACCACAACCTCGACCTGCTGGGCTCAGGCGATCCTTCTGCTTCAGCCTTCCCAGTAGCTGAAACTACAGGCATGTGCCACCACACCCAGCTAATTCTTTTTTTTAATTGTAGGGATGAGATCTTGCTAAGTTGCCCAGGCTGGTCTCAAGCCTGTGGGCTCGGGCAGTCCTCTTGCCTCAGCCTCTTGAAATGCTGGGATTTCAGGCATGAGCCACCGTGCACAGCTTTCTGGACCCTTCTGACAGCCCATGTTCATATGTGCAAACACACAGACTTGTGCAGTCATTCCAACAAAGCTGTCTTAGACCTTTTCCATGTTTGTTTCTCTCTCTCTTTTTTTGAAATTGTGCTAAATTATACATAAAGTTTACCAATTTAACCATTTGTAAGTATATAGTTCAGTGGTATTAAGAGATCTGACAATTTTTTTTTATTTTTTGAGTAGGAGTCTCACTCTGTCACCCAGACTGGAGTGCAGTGGCACGCTCACAGCCACCGCAGCCTCGACCTGCTGGGCTCAGGCATCTGCCTCAGCCTTCCAGGGAGCTGGAACCACAGGAGCGTGCCACCACACCCAGCTAATTTTTTGATTTATTTTAGAGACGAGGTCTTGCCAAGTTGCCTAGGCTGGTCACAAACCCCCGAGCTCAGGCAATCCTCTCACCTCTGCCTCCCAAAGTGCTGGGATTACAGGCGTGAGCCACCATGCCTGGCCAGAGATCTGACAATTAAGTTCCCAAACTCATCCTAGAAAAAGTGCTAACTACCTCATTGCTGAATATCAGTACAGTCACCCTCAAAGTTCTCCCCTTGGGAAGCTATGCACAGACACCAGCGCCTGGTACACCCATCAAAGCAATTTGGGAACTCCTTTTCTGGAATGACCATCAGAGCTGTCGTCATATTACCCTTGATGTCCTGAATGTCATCAAAATGTCTTCCTTTTAATATTTCCTTTATCTTTGGGTAAAAAAAAATCATTGGGGGCCAGATAAGATGAATAGGGAGGGTGTTCCATTACAGTTATTTGTTTCCTGGCTAAAAACTCCCTCATAGACCGTGCTGTATGAGTTTGTGCATTGTTGTGGTACAAGAGCTCCTTTGGGACCATTTTTACACACACTTTTCTCATGCCAAGATTTTCAGTTAGTCAAGTTTTTCCTGTTTCTCTATAGATTTTTTTTTTAAAATTGGATTCTCACTTTATTGCCCAGGCTGGAGTGCTGCTACTATAGCTTCGACCTGCTGGGCTCAAGCGATCCTTCCACCTCAGCCTTCCAAATAACTGGAACTACAGGCTTGTGCCACCATGCCTGGCTAAGTTTTTGATTTATTTTAGAGATGAGGTCTCGCCAAGTTGCCCAGGCTGGTCTCAAATCCCTGAGCTCAGGCAGTCCTCTGCCTAGGCCTCCCAAAGTGCTAGGATTACAGGCGTGAGCCATCGCACCCGGCCTCCATTGGTGTTTATTTGGTCTCCTATGCTTCTCACAGTCAGTCGATGATTTTGATGCACAATTCGATAAATTTTTGCAGTGTTTTCATCAGTTCTGCTTGAGGGGGCTTCTCTCCCCTCAGAAAAATGTTTAATCCATTTGTCCACTGCCGTTTTCTTCATGGCATTATCCCCATAAACTTGGACTAACAGGTTCCCGATTTTACTTCCACTCTTGCCAAGTTTGTTTTTTTGAGTTGGAGTCTCACTCTGTTGCTCAGGCTGGAGTGCTGTGGCATGCTCATGGCCACCGCAGTCTCGACCTGCTGGGCTCAGGTGATCCTTCCACCTCAGCCTTCCAAGTAGCTGGAACTACAGGTACGCGCCACCACGCCCAGCTAATTTTTTTTTTATTGTGGAGATGAAGTCTCACCAAGTTGCCCGGGCTGGTCTCAAACTCATAGGCTCAGGCAATCCTCTCACCTTGACCTTCCAAAGTGCTGGGATTATAGGCATGAGCCACTGCGCCCAGCTGACTCTTGCCAAGTTTAACAAGAAATTTAATTTTGTTCATTACTCTAATTCAAGCTCCAATATTCTCATGATGCCACACAAAAACATGCAACAACCAATAATGAACACCACTTAGCAAGACGCTGCCACACACCGACATAGGCACAACTTTAAGACACTGATATACCAAGGTTATGAAAGCTTACCAAGTTGTTTGTGAAGTGCTGTCAATGTAAGCACACAGTGGCAAGTTCACGAACTTAATTGTCAAATCTCATACATTCAAATGTTGTGCAAGTATAACCACCATCCATCTCCAGGAGATTTTTCATCTTCTCAGACTGAAACTCTGACTCCCTATTCTTTCTCCACCCACAACTCTACGTTCTGCCTAAGAATTTGACTATGCTAGGTACCTCAGTTAAGTGGATCACTGACATGGGGTCTTGCAGTGGGGAGAGAGATTGGATTCAATATCCCCCCTTTGTTTTTTGTTTGTTTTTGAGTTGGAGTGTCACTCTGTCACCCAGGCTAGAATAAAGTGGCACGCTCATGGCCACTGCAGCCTTGACCCACTGGGCTCAGGTGATCCTTCCACCTCAGCGTTCCAAGAAGCTGAAACTATAGGTGTGTATCACCACACCCAGCTAATTTTTTTATTTGTTATAGAGATGAGGTCTCGCCATGTTGCCCAGGCTGGTCTCAAACCTGTGGGCTCAGGCAGTCCTTTCACCTCAGCCTCCCAAAGTGCTGGGATTACAAGTGTGAGCCACTGTGCCCGGCTTCCCCTGTTTTTTTATTTTTGACCATTACAAAAGTTTACTTAACAAAAAGTTTAATACGAAAATACATGACCCGATTTTTACATCAAAGTAAAACAGGTCCTTGGGAGAAAGGACATGGACTTCTTTGCTGAAAAGCCATTTATACTTGTTCCAAGGCTTCTAACATGATGATACTATTTCCTCGTATTACCACCATGCCAATATTGTTCTGTTGTCCACTAGTTGCCATCTCCACACATTCATCTATCACAGGATGCATAAAGGGGTCAAATCCCCGTAATATTCCTTGGACATGTCTGCCACCATTTAGTTTCAATGATAACTTCTTGTCCATAAATTTTTTCAACTTGGGAGGATGAGCCTTGCTCATGATGTCGGCTCCACGGGCTCAGAGACACCTCCTTCCCCCGTTTTTTAAAAGAGTTCTTCTAAACTTGAAAAAGGAGAGACGAAGGAATAAAAAATACAAACAGAACCAAGTTTCTAGTATGTAGGTTTCTGCAGCCTAAGATCTTAGTAAAGGCTGTGAAGCTCTTGCCTTATCCCAAATCTTTTTTTTCTGGGATGAGACCTCCTCCTTCCAGTGGTGAGGGCGGGCTCTAAGGCCTTGCCGCCTGGAACAAGGTGCTCTGGCTCTGCTCCTTCCCCGCGGTGGCACTTTGGGCAGGCTCCCCAGTCTCATCTGCCTTTTCAAAATGGGGTCGCAAAGGACCAATCTCATGGAGTGACTGTGAGGCTTAAGTGATACGATGTATTTCAAGTGCTGGATGCCTGGCATCTAGTCGTGAGGACTCAACAATTGTTAATGGGAAGAGAAGACCCTCGAATTCAAACCTTTCAGCTTCCACGAAGTTCTCTGCCTCTGGTTCCCAGTCTGAGGGGCTGGAGGAGGTAACACAGGGAATGGCTTCCCTTTCTGGGCTCAAGCTATGGGGTGTGTCAACCTCCTGCGCATCCTCTGAGGATTTGCTCAGGTGGGTGGAGGGTCTGGACAGAGGCCCACCGCACACTGCTACTGGGTTGGTCTGGGCCCCACAAGTTCCTGGGCCTGGGGATCTTTGTCAAGCAGTTTCTGCAGTGAGGTGAGGGGCTGAGCTTCTGGCCCAGGGTGGCTGCTTGTCCTGAGCCTGCTGTGGGGTGCAGGAGCCCTGCTGGGATCAGGGCCTTCATGGCAGAGGCAGGACGTCCCTTTCTGGGTATGGCTTCCCTCCATGCTGCCTTCCCTCGATCCCCAGGATCCATCTCGGTGAACAGCCGCAGCACGCCGTTCTTGGCCACAGGGGAGAGCGAGATTCTGGACCTGGAGAGCGAGCTGTACCTGGGCGGCCTCCCCGAAGGGGGGCGGGTGGACCTGCCCCTGCCGCCAGAGGTGTGGACAGCGGCACTCCGGGCCGGCTACGTGGGCTGCGTGCGGGACCTCTTCATAGATGGGCGCAGCCGAGACCTTCGGGGCTTGGCCGAGGCGCAGGGGGCCGTGGGCGTCGCCCCCTTCTGCTCTCGGGAAACGCTGAAGCAGTGTGCGTCTGCCCCCTGTCGCAACGGAGGTGTCTGTCGAGAGGGCTGGAACCGCTTCGTCTGTGACTGCATCGGGACCGGCTTTCTGGGGCGGGTCTGTGAGAGAGGTGAGGCTACTCGTCATCCCAGGGGTCTTTGCCCCATCCCCAGGCCCATCCTTCTCAGGAGGACCTCCTGCTTTCCATTCCTGTGCCCCCTTTCTCCTCAGGGTGCCCCTCATGGACCCATCTCCGGCTTGTCATTCTTATAATGATTTCTCTGATCTTTCTCCCTCTCCACTGGCCTTTGTCTGTCTCCCTCTTCCTTCTCCTCCCACTCCCGGGGCAGAGGCTACGGTCCTGAGCTACGACGGCTCCATGTACATGAAGATCATGCTGCCCAACGCCATGCACACAGAGGCAGAGGATGTGTCCCTGCGTTTCATGTCCCAGAGGGCCTACGGACTCATGATGGCCACCACCTCCAGGGAGTCTGCTGACACCCTGCGCCTTGAGCTGGATGGGGGGCAGATGAAGCTCACTGTCAACCTTGGTAACTGCCCTGCCCTGTGCCTCTTCACCCTTCCCCTGGTCCTGTCTCTGGTCCACCCCTCCCTCTGTCTGGAGAAGCTGGTGGTGGTACCAGCAAAAGGTGCCCTCAGCAGTTTGGAGGTGCCAGCCTGGATCAGGGCCCCTGAGGGCTCTGTCCCCAGTGTGGATACACAGCATAACGCGATGCTTTGTGCTCAATGACAGTGTGAGCGGGGGAGACCCAGAGTGTGGCCATGCATCTGCCTAAGCATCTGAGGTGTAACGACGGTCCTCCTAGGGCGCTCACGTGGGGTCTTGGCAGCATCTGTCCCACACACACACCTAGTGACACAGCTCATTCACTGGTTCATTCACTTGGGAAGCACTTGCTGAGGCTCACTGGGTGCCAAGCCTGAGCTCAGTACAGTGGGAGGTACAGAGATGAGAGAGACTCGGCCCTACGTACAGACACCCCCATCTGCTCTGATGTCCAAAGAGCCAACTCTCTGTCGGTGTGTGAAGGTACGTGTGTGTACACTGGACACAGGATGTGCCATTTTCCTCATCTGGTGTCATGTGCTTTCAGGTTGGAGCCCTATAGCTGCCCTGTGAAGACACCAGATCACCAAACAGACAGTACTGTCCCTGTCTGATAGATTTTGAAATTCATGTACTGACTTGTCCAACATTGCAAAGCTCATATGACCAGGGGAGGAGCCAGGACTCAAACCTGGCTGTTTGCCTTAAAGTGCAGTGCTTTTCCCGTCGCCTTGGAGAGGGCTGCTGGCCCTTCCCATCAGGCCACTCACTGTCTTCACCCTTGCCTGGGGTCTCCACAGGAGAGAGCAGACCCCAGGGGTGTCCATGTGGGTCAGACCATGAGGCCTGCTCTCATGGTCAGGGCAAGAAGAAAAGAGCAGGTTCACCATTCAGCTTACATTTATGGAACACCTTGTAAGGGCCAGGTGTGTTCCAAGCCAGGGGCTCCAGCAGTGAGTAAGCAAAAGTCCCCACTGCCGTGGAGCTTTCAGAGTAGGGGAAGTGAGAGGGCCTGAGTTGTCCTGGCCAGGGTCAGTTCTGTCCATTTCAGACTAGACTCTCGAAGCACATAAACGTATAGCACCCAAGGACCTGCCATGTAGGAAGTTTCCAGGCCGCTAGGGTCACCTGTTGTGTCTCGAACCTAGGGGAGAAGTAGGGCTCTTCTGAGTAGATTAAAATCCTCAGCTGAAAAGAATGCAGAGCTGTGAGTTTTTAGATATTTGTCTGGATTCCTGTCCCGACATGGGTCTCCAGGGCGTTTGTGGGACAGACTGCGGCCTTTTGGGAGCCCATTCCCTCTTGAATATATTTATACTGTACTCTTTCCTTTCCCCCTTTTGGCCAGTTGGCCTTTGTACTCCTACAACGAGGGTTTGTCAAGGGGGCGGGGACTGGAGGTGGGGAGATGTGCAAGTGGCCAGGGCCTCAGAGTTGGTTTAAGGGTTCCCGCGGCTCTACCTCTAACCGCAATCACAGCCTGTAGAGTGGGCTGTGTGTGGCAGCTCTGTGGGGAAAGCAGGCTGGAGAACACCTTTTGGCCAGCGCTCTCCATCCCTGCATCCCTGAAACTGTCATGGGAGGACGGCTCCAGCCCAGGACTCCAAGAGTGGCCCTGGGCTTCTCAGACTGCCTGGGTCTGTGTATCCTGCGTGAAATGCTTCTCCTGCACCCGGGCATATGTGTCTTCTCCATGCCGCTAAGCACAACTCTGTGCTTGGTAGGGACCCAGCAGGGGAAGTTTGAGGCCTTTGACTTACAGGGAAGGCAGATGCTTCTTGCTTACTGGGACTGTCCTAGGCCTCTGGGAAGAAGCTTCTGTTTCTTTAGATTAGCCAGGAGACATTGTCCTTGACCAGGAAAACATCCTGGAGGGCTCTCAGGACCTTTTGCCCATAGGACCTATTCTGTCCTCTACAGAGGCATGCTTTTCTGTCAGAAGTCAGAGGACAAGGTGGCCTTCCTGGAAGACCCATCATGTTAAAAATAGGCTTCCCAGGCCGGGTGTGGTGGCTCAAGCCTGTAATCCCAGCACTTGGGAGGCCGAGGCGAGGGGACTGTCTGAGCCCACGGGTTCCAGACCAGCCTAGGCAATTTGGTGAGACCTCATCTCTATAATACATAAAAAAAGTAGCCGGGTGTGGTAGTGCGTGCCTGTAGTTCTGGCTACTTGAAAGACTGAGGTGGAAGGATCTCCTGAGCCCAGCAGGTCCGCGCTGTGATGACCATGAGCGTGCCACTGCACTTCAGCCTGGGTGACAGAGTGAGACTCCAACTCCTCCCCCCAAAAAAAGACTTCCCAGACTGACAGACAGTAGAACTGTCTTCCCACCCGCCTCTCACCCTGGCTGTGCCCCTGCCCCCATCCACAGAGATGTGTGTGCCGAGGTGCCATCTCTAGCATGACTTATGATAATCCATGACCAAATGCTTGGTGCACCTACCTTCTGATGCATGTACACAGAGACATTGGCTGCTGTGTAGGCACCATGGACACACAGTGAGCTTGGATGGAAAGAGTTGGGCTAGAGGCTAGAAGATCCGGGGTCTAGCCCTGGTATCTTTCACTGCTGGGTAAGTTATCTCCCATCTCTGAGCCTCTGTTTTTTTTTGTTTGTTTGTTTTGTTTTTGAGTTGGAGTCTCACTCTGTCGCCCACACTGGAGTGCAGTGGCTGCTCCCGGCCACCGCAGCCTCAACCTGCTGGGCTCCGGCGATCCTTCCGCCTCAGCCTTCCAAGTGTTTTTTTTAAACCTGTAAAATGGGGGTCAAGAATCCTCACCCTGCCTGCTTTTTGCATTGGGTTTGAGGCTCAGATGAAATAAAGGGAATGGAGATGATATCCAGATGCAGGACACATATGTACGGACCCACCCAGACTTCTCGAAGGAAAACCGTACTGTGCTAGGGACCTAAGTTTGGAACTGGGCCTGGGGGGTTTGCTTCCACATAGCATGGTCCAGTCTAGCCTCTGCTGCAGGAACCCCATTCTGATCCCCACCCCACTGACTCCTCAGGACCCGCAGGGCCTCACAGACAGGCAGCAATGCCAAGGCCCCAGGCCTAGGCTGGACTCACTGCTGGGAGAAGCCTGAGGGGGCTTAGTCTCTGGCTTCACGGTGTCACCCCCTAGGCAGGGAAGCCAGAGCTCCAGGGGACAGCCATGCAACTCCACAGGTACTCAGTGGGATAAACAGACTCATGACTGGGCCTGCAGAGGGAGCAGAGGCTGCCAGTGACACTTGGTGGGATGGCTGGGAGGAAACGCCCAGTGCCAGTCTCAAGAGATGAGATGTTTGCTAGACAAGAAAGGGCCAACAAGGCACTGCCGCTTCTTTCCAGAGTGTCCGGGGGAACTGGATCGTGCCTCCCAGAGCCTCCAGCCCCCAGCATGTCTGCAGCCCCTGAGTGGGGCAGTCGATCTGTCACTGGAGGATGGCAGAATCCCCTGAATTCCTTGCCTGTTCTAGCGTGGCCTGGATCCCTGCCCTGTGTCTGGGCTCTGGAACCAGTGCCCAGCCTGGCCTGTCCTCTTCTCTCCCGCCCTGGAGTTTCCCCACTAACTGAGCCCATGGGGTTCCATCTGTCAGTGCAGTTGACCTGAAGGGTGCAGTGTAATGGAAGGGCCTCTGACCTGCAAGGGGTCGCTCCCTTCAGGCCACCACTCCACGAATCGCCCAGACATCCCCCCCAATGGGAGGCCCTCCACCTCCCCCCTCTGAGATGGTCATTCTGATCATTGGGTGGATCTTCCTTCGTGTCACATACTCTCCGAAATCCCCACCTGTCCTGAAGTCTCCACTAGTTCTGCCCTCTTGAGCCAGAGAAACCTAGCTCTCATCCATGTTTTAGATCAGGCCAAATGTACGTTGTATTCCAAAGTCCTTTAGTCCCTGGGGCCTTGAGAGGGTGCATTGCCTCCCCACCTGGGGCTGGTCAGTAGTTACGGAGGCGGGGCTGCGGGAGCCGGACGAATAGAGTTGCACCAGGAGCGTGCTGCCCTCTGCCAGGTCTCTTCTGAGACCAGACGCGTGGGAGACTTGGGCCCACTGTCTTCAGTCCCTGGGCCCGGGTGAGGCAGGGTGGGGAAGCCTGTGTTCTCTCCTCTGAGTTCCTTTCCATGCAGACTGCTTTCTCCCGCCTGTTCCATCACACGTTCATGCGATGAGCCTGGTCTCTGTCCAGCTAGGGCCTCGGTGGATCTCTGTAGCCCAATCACCTCTGCCCACTGCCTGCACTTGAGACACTAGCTGACAGGCTCTAGTTAGCGCTCCCTGAACCTGGGTGAGCGTGCGCTGAAGGGGCTGAGTTTCTCCTGCTCACTCTCAGTCCCCGGCTTTCCTCTGGAATGGGGGCGGCTCCCCTGGTGCCCATCTTCAAGGTGGGTTCGCTCTCCCCAAGCCCTGCTGGAAGGGGTCTTCAGGGGATGGAGTCATTGCGCGAATGGGCCTGAAGCTGACACCTCTTCTCTAGACAGATGGACCCTCCATTCCTGGTGCTCCCCTGCTGGGGAGGGGAAAATCAAGCCCCTCCCTTGGGCCTTGTCCCCAGCAGGGGACCCACTTGCCCCTCCAGCCCCCTTTTTTCTTTTTTGGACCCTTCATTGGTGAAGACTCTGCTGGCCCCGCGAGAGCTCCTGTGACCTGACTCCAGGGCCTGGCACCCTTCCGCCCTCACCTGCTGTCCCTCCCCTTCCCCCATCCAGCCTCTCCTTTTTCTTCCTCTTTTTTCTCTGCAGCCTCTCTGCCTCCTTCCCCTGTCTGTGACTTCTCACTTCCCCCATGTCTACCCGTGACCTTCTTCTGCCCCCTCTACCCCTCCCGTGGTGCCAGGCTGTGGCCCAGGGTCTCAGCTGCTCCTCCCACTCTTCTGCTGCGGTTGACAACGCGTGTGGAGCTCAGCTGTACCGCCCGAGGGGCCCACAGCCCCCAGAGCCACAGGGCGCACCGGTTTACCTCCACTGCAGGAACCTTCAGGGGCCCGGGGAATGCTAGGTGCCGCCCCCTTTGCTCCAGGGCCAAGGGGCACACAGGCAGAGACTGGGAAGGAGCGATGAGGTATTGCTGTTAACCGAGGACTGGAGCCTGCCCCTCGGAAAGGCAAGGCCAGGCCCTCCTTAGCTCACAGAGAGGGAAGCTGAGGCCAGGAGGGAAGCCCAAAGTCACCCAGTGCGTCAGTGGGTGTTAGGATGAGAGGAAGACCTGCTCCCTGCCTCTCAGTGCTGGGATTTCTGCAGCTCCAGCCAGCCCTGCCCCCTCGGGCTGAGTTGGGATCTGGGTCTGATGGAACAGTGGAGACATCCTAAGGACCCTAAATCCGAGCTTCATAGGGACCCTAGTGCTTCGCTCCTGCAAGGGCTGGCTGACCCACTGGAGGAGTGGCCAGAGGTTCTGGGGCCGTGGCTGTAGGCTCTATGTAGACACATGCTTTCTGATCTCGTGGAGGCTCTCCCAGCCTTGAGGTCAGCGAATAGCAGTGCTAGGATTAGGGCAGGAAACTTTACTTATGCCTCCTGCTTTGTGTCCTCAGAGAAGTCGTCTTTTGGGGACCTCAGTGTCCCCATCTGTGAAGCCTTGGCTCCTCCCTAGAATAGTAGATTAACACCAGGCCCTCTTCAGGGTGAAGGTCCATCTGATAGACCTACAGGGGCAGCCTGGCACCCCCTAGGCTGGGAGAGACATGAGGAAGGTTCCTGCAGGGGTGGTGCTAGCCCCGGGGCTTTGGGATATATGTGGCCTCGGGAAGGGGGCCCTGGGGCGGACCCCTCCTTTAGCTCAGAGCTCAGAGGGGCATGAGTGGTGACAGTCACACCTGGGCTCTGAGCAGGGAGTCGTCCCAGAGCAGGGGATGCAGGGACTCTGGCCCTCCCCACCCATCTCCCTCCCAGACACCGGGGAGATGTGGGGTTGGCCAGTCCCCCAGCCCCCAGTGGTCCCCTGTACGCCTGGGATTCCCAAGGTGCCCGTCTCCCTCAGACACCAGAGGCCTGGGTCCCTCCGAGAGGGGGGATGCAAGCCATCTTCCCATGGTCTGGCTGCCCTGCCTCCCAGCTCTGGGGAGGGTCGGAGCCCTCTTGGGGGCAGGAGGGACTGGGGTTCAGCTGAGGAAGGGGAGAGGGCACCTGGGCACGCGTGGTCCCCGGAAAGTGGCCCTGGGGGGAAGCCCCGCCTGCAGACACCCCACCCTGTGAAGGATGTAAAAAAAAAAACTTGTTTTGCCTTTTTGTCTCCCCTTCCCCTCTGCCCGCCCCATGGCCCCCCCAGACTGCCTGCGCGTCGGCTGCGCACCCAGTAAGTGGCTTCCCTATTCTTTTGCAGAGACTCAGGGGGACCGGGATGCTGGACACTGGCATTTGGGGAGGGAGGGTGAAGGGGGGAGAAGCCTTCGTCTCTGGCTTGTGTGGGGGCTGGGCAGTGGGTGTGGGGAGGGGAGCGGGCGTTGGGCGGCTGGGTCGGGGTCAGGTGCTTGTGGAGGGCAGAGGGAGCACATGAAACAGAACCGGAAAGAGCTGGAGGAGGGTCCGTGGTCAGGATGTTCCCCGGCTTCAGGCGGGGGAAGAACAGGAAACCCAGTCACCCAAGTCGGCAGGAGGGCGGGGGGAGGCCGAAGTCGAGGCTGGGCTCAGCACTCGCGGCGGAATGCTCCACCGTCCCATTGGCGGCTCGGGGGATAGGCCGCTGCGTCTCCCGAGGTGGCCACCAGGGGGAAGGCGAGGCACGCGGGAAAGAAGACGAGAGCGGGAGTGGAGCCGGTCCAGGGCCTCCCACGGCTGTGTCAGCTGGGTGGGGGGAGGTTTCTGCCAAAGGGGTTCCCAGCAGGGGTCAGATGGGCATCCTGGCTGCCTGGGCTCGGTGCTATGTCTCAAGAGGGTGTTTCCACATGGTGTGCCTTGGGGTCACTCGGGAGCCCATGAACGCAGCCGGCCCGGCAGAGAGACTGTGTTCGGGCCTCTTGTGTGTGTGCGGTGTGCTGTGTGTGCCCAGGGCTACTTCGGCCCCCGCTGGAGTGAGCATGGGGGTGGGGTGGGGACAGGGGATGGCCCGGGAAAGCTGCAAAGTCCAGCAACATTTTAAAGATAAGTATGTTTTGTTTTAGACTCTGGAAGCTGATAATCCTGGCCTTGAATAAATGATCATAAGTCCTAAGATCCAGACCCTCCCCCTCTCTGGCCGTGCTGCGTGGGGTTGCATGATGCCACATGTGGCGTTAACCAGGCGTGGGTAGAAAGGCCCCACTGGGTCCCACTGGGTGGGGAGCTGGGTGTCTGTGTGGAGCAGAGGCAGTGGGTGCACATTCACATTTGGGTGCAGGTTGAAAGTGTTTGGATTTCTGTAAGGCTCAGGTCTGTGCTTGGATGCTGGGAAGTTAGCTGCCGACACACTGAAGGTCCTTAGGAGTCTGGAAGAGGAGCGTGTCAGTTTAGGTGTGAGTGCCTGTGTGCAGAAGCTGGGGGACAGCTCCAGGGGCACCAGTCACTTCATGTTGTATGGGCACGGCACCCTCTGAAGTCTCACAAAGTGTGTCTGGGTTTGCCCTGGGGGTGTAAAAGCTGCGTGTGCGTGCATTCTGGGTGCGAGGCGAGGTGCGTGTACTCGTGCGCACTGGTGTGTGGCACGGCTGAATGTGTGCCACAGGTCATGTGTGTACATGCATGGCACCTGTGTGGGCGGGGAGGCCGTCCGTGTGCCCATGGCGGCACAGGAAGCCCCCTGTGAGCCAACTGCATGCCCCGCTCACTCCCCCCTTGGTGCCGCAGGTAAAGGCCCCGAGACGCTCTTTGCCGGGCACAAGCTCAATGACAACGAGTGGCACACGGTGCGGGTGGTGCGGCGTGGCAAGAGCCTGCAGCTGTCCGTGGACAACGTGACCGTGGAGGGTAGGTGGTCTGGCCCGGGGGCGTGGATGTGTCTCTAGTGACCTGTACTTGGCCCGTTTCCACCTGGTGGCCACGGCCTGGGCTGTCGTTCCTGGGGCAGTGTCTGGCGGGCCGCCTCTGCCACCGCCTCCTCAGGGTTGGTCTGTTGTAGGCATCTGGGCCCCCGGAGACCATTTCACCTCCCCACAGATCGTGTTTCCTTGGCGGCCTGCTGGCCCTTGACTGACGAGTCCTGCCACTCCTGGGGCTGTGCTTGCCGCTGGCGCCCGGCTGGCCTCTCTGCTGCTGTGGCTGACGGTGGTGGCTCCCGTGTGGAGGGGAGGCTCCGGGAACGCAAGGCCCAGCCCCAGAAACGGTCCTGCGGCCTGTGCTTTCCCCAGAGCCATCCCGCGCATCACGGTCTCCTATTCTGAGCAGGACAGATGGCTGGAGCCCACACGAGGCTGGAGTTCCACAACATCGAGACGGGCATCATGACGGAGCGGCGGTTCATCTCCGTGGTGCCCTCCAACTTCATTGGGCACCTGAGTGGGCTGGTGTTCAACGGCCAGCCCTACATGGACCAGTGCAAGGACGGCGACATCACCTACTGCGAGCTCAATGCCCGCTTTGGCCTGCGTGCCATCGTGGCCGATCCCGTCACCTTCAAGAGTCGCAGCAGCTACCTGGCACTCGCCACGCTCCAGGCCTACGCCTCCATGCACCTCTTCTTCCAGTTCAAGACCACGGCGCCTGACGGGCTTCTCCTGTTTAACTCGGGCAACGGCAATGACTTCATCGTCATCGAGCTGGTCAAGGGGTGAGGGGCTGGGCGTCACGCTGCTTTCGAGGAGGGGGCCCCCTTCCCCCGCTGGGCCCCATGCAGCTTCAGCCCCCCAGATTTAGTCAAGATTGAGGTCGCCGGCCATCAGCTGAGAGGCTCCCTCTACGGCCAAGATGGAGAATCAGCACTTCCTCTTCCGTTCTGCTGGCTTCCCAGCTGCTGCCTGGCCAGGGGCTCCCTGTTATGTCCGTTATGTCTGTTCTCGGACCTGTGTCCTGGCTCAGGCCCTCAGCCCTCCCTAGAGGCAGAAGTCAGCCTTGGCTCTCTCTTGCCTTAGAGGACCCGTGCCCCAGGGCAGCCCAGGCCCTGTCCCCAGAGGACCCTGCTGCCCACAATACCCTCCCTCCGGCTGCTCTCTGAGCCCGTGTCACTGGAGCCCGCTCCTTGGTGGCCCTCCCTCCCCACATTCTCCCCATGACACCGCCTCACGCCATAGCCCTCTTGCCATTGGTTTGGTCCCTCTGCGCCCGGGTCTCCCCTTAATCCCATCTTCCCATGGCACCTAGGACCCCGCCAGCCGTAGTGCCTCCTCACCCCGCCTTCCCAGCTTCCCCCGCCCTGACCCAGTGTCTCCTCCCTACCGTGGGGCAGGTACATCCACTACGTGTTTGACCTGGGGAATGGCCCGTCCTTGATGAAGGGGAACTCAGACAAACCAGTCAATGACAACCAGTGGCACAATGTGGTGGTGTCCAGGGACCCGGGCAACGTGCACACGCTCAAGATCGACTCCCGCACGGTCACGCAGCACTCCAACGGCGCCCGAAACCTCGATCTCAAAGGTGGGGCTGGGGCCTCTGGAGAAGGCCTGGCCCTAGCCCAGACACCCCATCCCCCAGCAAGATCACCCCTCCTGGGAGGCTGTGGCCCTTGCCCCCTGCCCCAGCTGCCACTTCTCTTTCCCAGTCTCCACTGTGTCCAGCCTGACACTTTCCTGTCTATGTTCTGCTCAGCCCTCCTGCGCGTCTGTATCTCCACACTGAATGCCCGGCTGCAGGATGTGTCCATGGGGTGCTTGGTGGCCTTTTCTAGAGCTAGGCGAAGGCAGTCCAGGTCCCCCAGCCGTCCCGTAGACCTCCAGGGTTGGCAAGCCTGTCTTAGTTGAGGGCTAGATTGAGAACGGGGAGCTTAGTGTCACCCTGGGCGGGGTGGATGGGGAGGGGCAGAGGGAACGGCAGTAGCCGGGGTCCCCGTGTCCCCGTGTCGTCTGTCTTGGTCATTGGCTGGGCTGGCTTGGGAGACTCTTTGGACCTAGGCCTCCCTGGCATGCTTAGGCTCACACCAGGGTCGTGTTTCCCAGGGCCTCCTCAGTCATCGAGGGGCTGTTGTGTGCCCCCGAAATGAGTTAAGAGAGCGGGGAAGAGGGCTGAACTAAGGGCCGGTGCGTTGGGACAGGAGAAGAGGCCTGGTGCTTCTCAGAGCCCACTGGGGACAGTGTGAACTACCTTCTTGCACATGCCCAAGGCAGCCCTAAGCCACATAGGGACACTGGGGATCAGTGTGACTCTCGCTGTCAGCTTGCGGAGGGTCTCAGAGACCACTGAATTCACCCCCGACCCCCCACCTGGCAGATCTCAGATCTGCCAGACCTCGAGGCATAACCTGTGAATTCTCCCCGCTCCCGGAAGGGGGCAATGTGTCCCAGAGAATCCGATCAGCCCTGGCAGCAAACCTAGGGCTGATCCAGCTTGCAGCCGGTGGCCAGAGCGGCAGGTTGCCCGTGTCTTGACTGCACGCGCTGCTCTGGGCTGGCCAAGGCTTCCAGGGAGTTGGGCTCCACGGGGGAAGGGGAGTCTGGTGGCCCCAAGGACAACTTCCCAGAGTCTCCAGGCCAAGCGCTAGGTGTCGGAGTCGGGAGTTGGGAGTGGGTTTAGAACTCCCTCGGAGGGAACTTGGAGTTGGGAGAGGCTTGCCAAGTTCTGGGAATGGGAGACTTCGATGGGCACAGGGAGAAGGGAGAGGGAGCGGGGGTGGAGGGGATGGGGCTGCACATCTCTGAAAGGCCCTGATTACAGGCCGGAACTGGAATCAAACGTGTGGGAGAGAGCGCAGAGCAGGTTCCTCCAGCTGTCCCCCCCTCCCCCGCTCCTCCCGGCCTCTGGGCTTCTTTGGAGGAGAGCGGACAGATGGCAACGTGAAGGAAGTGGGGGGCGTGGTGCCGGTTGCTGGGTCTCTGTAAGGGACCTGGGTCTGGCCCGGGACACCGAGAGCCTGACAGTTGTCCTGGGAGGGGAATGGGGACCTGGATGCCTCAGTTGACCCTGCTCCCTTCGCAGGGGAGTTGTACATTGGTGGACTGAGCAAGAATATGTTCAGCAACCTGCCCAAGCTGGTGGCCTCCAGGGACGGCTTTCAGGGCTGCCTGGCCTCGGTGGACCTCAACGGACGCCTCCCAGACCTCATCGCCGACGCCCTGCACCGCATCGGGCAGGTGGAGAGGGGCTGTGACGGTGAGTGGAAGGTGGAGCAGCCAGGTGTGGCCTGCTGGCTGCAGGGGGCCAGCTGCAAAGGCAGCCCCAACAGGTCACCTCTGCTCAGCACAAGGGCCTTACTTCCCAGGCCTCGTGGGAGCCTCCACCCGCAGTGCTGGGAGGGGTGCAGGTGGGTGAGGGGTCCCTTGCCCTCCGTGTTGCCCCCACCCTGGCCCTTGGTCACAGCCCAAGGCCAAGCCTAGCCCCCTTCCCTCCACCCCCTCGTCAGTGCTTGGCCCTTTCAGGCTGCGGAGCTCAGAGCAGGCCCTCTCTGCCTGACCCCGAAGCTTCCACATCTCCTGGAAGGGAGGGGGCTTGTCTGAGCTGGGGGTGTTACTTCCTCCTGCCCCTCCCAGGCCCCAGCACCACCTGCACCGAGGAGTCCTGTGCCAACCAGGGCGTCTGCTTGCAGCAGTGGGATGGCTTCACCTGTGACTGCACCATGACTTCCTACGGAGGCCCTGTCTGCAATGACCGTGAGTGCCTGGGAGGGCTGGGGGGTTTTAGGGGGAGACCCGGGCCCATTCCCAGCCACGGGGACCACCAGGGAGGAAGGAGGGTCTCAGCGCCCAAGGTGGTGCTGCTTGCTTCCTTCTTGTCCCTTGTCTCGAGAGTCCAAGGGGAGCTGCTGGTCACTGTCCCCTCTGGGAGTCTTTCTCTTGGGGCTGTGTGGGATTGCTGCTACATGAATCTCTGGGGTGACCCACTGAGAGATGGTCTCTCCCTCTTGTTGCGTGCTGGCGGGGCACTGATTCCTTCAGCCCCAGCCAAAAGTGTCAGCCTCTGGGGTGACTTGTTGCATTCCCACGTGATTTTGATGATGGCCTTACATGCTGTACTTGCACTTCACCCAGGGACTTGCACAGGCAGGGGGGCTGTTGTCAACCTGCACCCCTTTGCTCTGGTGTTTTCAGAGCATGCAGTGGGAACCCGTTATTTCCTGCTGGGAGCAGACTCACAGCAAGGCTCCCAACAGGCCAGGCTGCTGGACAGCTGGTTTCCCTCTTTGTCCCCCAAGAATCCCAGCTGCAGTTTGGCCCCTTGAACCACAAGGACACTCCCTGGTGTCCTCACTTGGTTCTTCTCCTCCCTGGCTGGGCATCTGCTTGCCAACTTGCATTCTGTTTGAGGCCCCTCGCCAGAGAGGGCCGCTTCAGCACCAGTTGCCCGTCCCTCGTGGTTGGTGGCCAGCAGCTGGTTAGAGGCTGGCTGTGGGAAGGCAGCTGGGGCAGGACCTGGGGAGAGGCAGCCCTCTCCTTTGGGCTGGTTTGGAGTTTCCCTCGGATGATCGGTCTGGGATGGGGTGGTGGGGGTGAGTAGTGCAGCCTCCGCAGGCTGAATCGTCTTCCCTTGCTGAGACCCAGCAGAAAAATCAGCTGCCTGGGACAAGACACACATGCACAGACACTTATAACACACACACACGAGGGCGGAGCTTACAAACATGGAATGGGGTGTGGGGAGGCCAGCAGGTTTTTGGAGGTCGTTCACAGCAGCACTGAGGGAGACCCGAGTCTGCACCTTTGCCTCCAAACCATAGTGCCAGGCCTTTGTCACCTGGGCGTGAGTCCTGCATTTATTCCAGGAGAAACCTATGTCCAGGGATTGGGGCTCCTGGGTGGGTGCTGGTTTTCCTTCCCCTCTGGAAAAATGTCCAGCCCCTTTCCCGCAGTGCTTTCCTGGAATCCCTAGGCATGGCCAGCCCTTGGGTACCTCCACATTCCCTCCCTGACCCTGGGATTTTTCTTATCTGACCTTCCACGTTTTCCAGCCATGGTATAAAGGTGGGCTGCGGTTGGGCCTGTTCCCCTCCAGTTACTCAGTTTTGCCCCGATCTGAGGTGATGGTAACTTGGCTGCTTAATGGTAACGCTCCCCACTGGTAGCAAATGCTTTGCCTCTTACAAAGCTCTTTTAATTTGCTCCTTAAAGAAGACAGGGGGACAGAGATCTTCCTTCCTGCTTAAGCGATGAGGAAACCCAGGCCTCAGTAAGAGGCAGCTACTTGCCCAAGTCACGCAGGGTTGGTGGCAGAGCCCAGCGGGAGGCTGGGCACTCCTGTTTGCCACCCTCTTCTGTTCCTTCAGTTTCCGGTGGTGGTGATACCCATGGTGGGCAGTTCTTGCCTGGGGTGGTGGGAGCCTGGAGGAAGAAGTGCAGCCGCCCTCCACCACTGTTCCGCTCCCACACAGTGGCGCCTTCTCGGGTGGGGGCATCAAGCTGGATGGGGAGGAGGGCGTCTAGGGGCCTTGCCATCTTTCAGTGGGGATGGCAAGAGCGGTGTCTCTGGGTTCCAGGCTGGTGGGAGGCAGGGAGAGGGCTGGGGAGCAGGGCCCACCTGCGGAAGCATCACCCCCCAGCCTGGCCTTTGTGTCTGGCGGCTTGGCCCGAGCAAAGCTGTGGAGCGACACAAGGTGGGTGCAACCCGTAGACCTCTGATCGCGGGTGCTGCGGGGCCTCTGGGAGCTGCGCCCTGGAGGGTAGGGCAGGAAGCTGGGGTACAGGGGCTCTGCCAGGGCTTTCCCAGCCACAGCCCCTCTCCTGGGACGGCTCCTCCTTCCGAGCTATCTCCTCCTTCCGAGCTATCCATGCTCCCTCTCTGGGGCCGGTCTTGGGGCCCGCAGAGAGGCCTGTCCAGCGAGCTCTGCCCCACCTGGAGTCCTGCGGCATGGAGGGGCCTGAAGAGAGGGAAGAAGTGGGAATGGCCACAGTGAAAGGAGCAGGGCCTGTCCTCTGAGGGCAGGGCTGGGGCATGGCGTCTGTGGGGAGAGGCGGGGCCTGCAGACATCCTTACCTCCCACGTCAGTCTCTCCGTCTGTGGCTTGGGGCCTACCCCTTGGGAGGAGGGAAGCTTGTGTTCCTTCAAGGCTCTGGAGCCTCTGCTCTGGGAAGACGGGAGAGATGATCAGATCCACCGCTGGGATGAGAGAGGAAAGTGGAGGAATGAAAAAGGGACTATGACACGAGAAAGAAGGGCAGATAAAGGGGAGACACTGGCAGACACATGGCCGAGGCCCAGACGGGGCTTTGGGGCTGAGCGCTCCCATCCAACCTGCCTGCTGCTCTGTCTTTGGGAGACTGTCTCTGGCCTCTCCTGGGGTCAGCTCCTCACCCTCTCTGCCTCCCTGTCTCTGCATCTCTGCAGCCTCTATTGATCTCGTGCACACCTCCTCAACTCTCCCTCCTTTGTACCCTCAATGTCTCCCCTCCTTCCCCAGCCTCACCCCTCCTGCTCTCTCCAGTTCCCACTCACTGGTATTGATTGGCCTCTAGGCAGTTTCCCTTCCTCTCCTCTCGCCACTGGCTCCTCCCTCCCTCCCGCTGGGACCATAAATTTTCTGCCTGCTCAGAGCTGTGTCAATCTGTATTCCAGATCAGGGGCATGGGACAGGATAGAGAGGGCAGGAGGACGTGGCCTCCGGGAGCCCAGGCCCCGGCCAGCCTACAGCCTCTGCTCCCACGTGGGGTCCTGTGCCGCCCGCCACCAAAGCCTCCTCTGGGGGCTCCCCCGAGGGCCTCTGTCTTCACTCCTGAAGGGCTGGGGCTCAGGTCCCTGCCTGGCATCTCGCAGGGTGAAAGGCTGGCACAGCAACGGGGGAGCTGTCCAGGGTCCTGACTGCATCCTGGCACTTGGGCGCGGCACCTGGGGCTCTCGGACAGTTTTGGCTCCCAAATGGAGTTCGGAATCAATAAGCAGCAGCCAGCTCTCTCCTGCCCCTCCCATCCTCCTCGCTCCAGCCCTCCCCTCTCACCCCAGCGCCCCTCCCTCTCGCCCTTTCTTTACCCAGCCCTCCTCCTCACTCTGCTCCACTGTTTCTTCAGCTCCCTCCAAGTCCCCTCTCCATCTCTGCTCCCCTTTTCCCCCTCCTCTTCCCTGTCCAAGGAGGTCAATGCGGGTGCACATGTGACACTCAGATGTGTCTCTCTGCACTTACCTCTGGTGCCATGACAAGAGCTTCTTAGAGGTCCCTGAAGGTTTGGGGTTCAGATCCCAGCTGGGGGGACCCTGAAGGGGAATTGGCTTCTTCAGTGGACATAAGTGGCCCAGGAAGGGTTTTGTCCTAAATGGGACACTCAGTGGACAGGTGTCCTCAAGACCCCCTCGTGGAGGGAAAGGGTGAGGGGCAGGGGCAGGGGAGTGGAGAGGAAGGATTGGAGGGATGAGGGGAGGGTCTGCGCAGGGGGTAGGGGAGCACCCTTTGGGAGGGGGTGATGAGGCTGTGTGTGTGGCATGTCTTATTCTTGAGTACCTTTCGGGCTCTGGGTGCACTTTGTATGCCACGATGACCCTATTTTGGAGAGTGAGTTTCCGGGGGCAGGGTGGCTGTGTGTGTTGGCCCTTCGTTGCCTGTGAGCAGACATGTATGTGTGCACGCGCGTATGCCTCTGTGAGCTTGTGTCCACGCTCGGCTGAGCGATTCGGTGTGCCAGCGTCTGTGAGCACATGCATGCAGATATGTGGCTGAGCCCGAGTGCCTGCCCGCACACGGTGGTGCCCGTGTGGGCACGTGGGTGTCTCCACCCCCAAGCCGGTCCCGTCCCAGCTGCACGTGTGCTCCGAGGGGTGCGGGCACAGGCGGCGGCGGCCGCATCTCCGCAGCCGGACCAGCGAGCACTATGGGGGTTCGTCCCGGTGGGGGGGAGGGGCGGAGGAGGAAAAGAGCGGCTTCTCGCTCGCCTCAGTCCCGCTCAATTACTCAGCAGGGCCCCTTCTCGGGCCGCGGGGCGGGA